ACTTGAATCTCAGAATTCTGACTGAATTCTGACAATAAAAAAGTCAGAATTCTCAGAAAAAGTCAGAATTCTGAGATTAAAGTCATAATTCTGACTTTTTTCACATACTATACTGAAATAAAATAAAAAAAATCAGTTAACTTTTTTTTTTTTTTTTCAGTTGCCCTAATCCTCTTCCGTATAACAATGACTGCAAGCCAGACAGCTGCAAATATACCCAATAGGTTGACTGAAGACATTAACAAACACCCTGTAGTTGTTACAGACAGCCTTGCAAATATGGTTTGTTCAGTGAAGATAATGCAGCTCATGCATGTCTGCTGTGTCCCCACTGTGCTACGTCTGCTTGGATGAGTGACACTTCACTTTTTCACAAACAAGTTTTGTTCACATTTCAAGTTTAAACTGTCTGATTTACAAGTTTGCACTTTGTGTTTAATATGACAGGAAAAAATAAAATACAGGAGTATTTTCAAACAGTTGAACCGCTTTCATTATTGCAAAAACAGATCAAATCGAAATTAATCGATTTAGAACTGTATAAATCAAAATCGAATCGACTCAGGACTTTGACGAAAATACCCAGCCCTAGAAGCTACTATGAGAAAAAGCAGAACGTTAGAGATTGAACTAACAGATCCTGCAAAATGGGAGAATAGATAAAAATTATTATCTTTGGTCATTTCTAAACTGTTTCCTTTATATTAATTTGATAACAGAATTTACACACTGCAAAAAAATGGAAATCTAAGTAAGTAATTATTTCTTAAAGTAAGTGCATTTCTTCTCCAATTGAGGACGAAAGTGAGAGAATTTGCCAATGGAACAAGACAATTTACATTTAAAATAAGAAAAAACAATTGCATTGTCTTATTTCAAGTTCATATTATCTAATTATCTTATTTTAACCTCTTACACCCTAAGGGGGTATAAATAAATTTCTGCCTGACAAAAACACACAAAAGTAAATAACTTATACCCTCACAGCTATTAGATTTAAGAAGAAACTTTTGGTACGTCTGTAAAGGTAAGATGTCATAGAATGGTTTTCTGGTGTCAGCAGCATTGTAGCTTTGACCCTGCCTGAAATATTAGTGACAAAATACAAAATATTTTGCATTTTTTGAACCC